CCCGTCGCCGAGGCGAGGACATCGTCATCGTCATCGGCGGGCGTGATCGACGTCGGCGCCGACGTTGGCCTTCCCGTCGTCATCGCCACCCTCGTCGCCACCGTGGCTACTCTCATCATGGTGTCTACCGTTGTCGGCGTCGCCATGATACCGCGCCCGCCCAGTCACCGACTCGCACTGAAGTGCCCGCTTGGAAATGCCCAACGGTTAGCGCCGCCGCGGCTGCGTCGGTCGCGCCAAACTAGCGGGCCGCTTCGCGCGCGAGCATGCGCCAGCTAGCGCGGCCGCAGAGATGCACCGGCAAACGCCAAGCATGCGTCGCAATCGCCGTCGCATGGGTTTTGCAGACCAAGTTGTGGGTGGGTGGGTGGGATGATTGCACGAGCAGTGGGAGTTGACAACTCACTGCGAGCATTGGTGACTTGCACCGCATACATATGTTGCACCGCGTTGGTTGCTTCAATTAGATTTTCCTTTCTAAACAGAGAATGGGATCCACCACCCTCTCGAGGCCGGACTTAACAGTGCACCTTTTCGTACTGCAGTTGATAAATGATTTAGCCCCATCGTCCACCCTGAATCTAAGCCCGTACCATCCCAGCTGAGCCGGCATCGACCCCCCGCCATCCTCTGCAACAGAATTTATGCGCGCGCACTCGTTTATCACAAATCATCAGTTCTCAAGAATCCCTTGCAAGAAAACGGGACGAAGTGCACGCGCGCGCGCGCGTCGTCGCGCGCGCGCGTGCCGAAATCCTTCAAAAACCATCAGTTGCGTAAGGATGTCGAAACCGAGTGTCCAAACCGAGTGTCCAAAACACATTCAACAACACATGGTTTCGCAACGCGGATTTCCAGAGAAAGCTTGCGCGCGCACTGTTTCGAATGCTCGAGATAACCATCGGGCTTTCAACCTACTCGTGACATGCTGCCAAAATGGCCTCGCGCGCGCATGTCGACCTCGTTCGAGCGCTCTTGCGTGCATGCTGTCGCAAGAACCCTTTGCAGCAAATAGGACGAAGTGCGCGCGCGCGTCGTCGTGCGCGCATGCCGAAATCAATGAAACAACGTGCGTTTTCGTAAGGGATTTCAAAACAGAGTGTCCCGAAACCATACAACAACACATGTTTTTCGCAACAACAGTTTTCGAAAAAAAAAACTTGCGCGCGCGCTCGTGCGAATTTTTAAGAACGGCCTCATTATTATATAAAACCACTGTCATTGAACTCTGCCACGCGGACTTCTGGCGCCGCATGCCTAGATCGTTCGAACGCCCTTGTGCGCGTGCGGGGGGGGGGGAGGCGATCCCTGTCAAAGAATACCATGCGGCCGCTCTCGCGCGTCGGCCGCGCGCGCATGTCGAGCTCTTTCCAACACCTTTATCACCGACGCGAGGACGCCGTCATCGTCGTCGGTGTGATCAGCATCGGCGCCGTCACTAGCCGTGCTGTCGTCGCTGTCAACATCGTCGCCAACATCGCTACTATCATCATCGTGTCTACCGTTGTCGTCGTTGCCATGATACCGTGCCCGCCCAAATAGTCAACTCGCACTGAAATGCCCGCTGGGATGTGCCGACCTGGCCGCTGCGCGCGCGTGCATGCGCGGGCTGGCGCGGCCGCAGAGACGCACCAGCCAACACCAAGCACTCATCGCAATCGCTGCCGCAGGTGGTTTGCAAACCAAGTTGCGGGTGGGTGGGTGGGATGTTTGCACGAGAAGGACAACTCAGTGCGAACATAACATAATTTCACCACGTAGACTGCAATACGTAGATCGCGTTACATTGAGTGCACGATATAGATTGCACATCTTATATTGCAAACCATAGCTTATCTTTCGTACAAGAAAGTTGGGATCTACCTCCCCCCCCTGCGGACTTAACGGGTTGCCTTTTCGTTTGCAGTGTACGGGTTTGCCTCAGGTTGTTGAAGGATTTTTGCGTTCTCGCCTCCTCTGTTTTCCGAAAGTCAAGACGGCCCAGGAGGCCCCAAATACCAACCCAAGAGGCCCAAGAGGCCTCTAAGAGGGCCCCTAGACGGCCCAAGAGGCGTCCAAGACGGCCTAAGAAGGCTCCAGGAGAGAGGCCCCAAACAGGCCCAAAAGAGGCCCCAAAACGGCCACCAAGAGGCTTCAACACTGTCCCCGAAGTGCTCCCCACGAGATCCCAACGGGCATCCAATAGGCTTCACACCCACAACCCAGGCACGGTAGCGGGATGGCCGAAGGCCAGCAGGTCCGCCGCCCCTTGTCGATTCATCGCAGGGGTGCCTGGCGTGCTAGACCCTTTCGGTTTTGGTTTCTTTTTCCAGAAGAACTCCCCCTGGGCCTCTGGCGCGTCCCGCCGGCCACCCGGAAAAATTACCAAGGACCTCAATCCAGAAAGAATCATCCAAGATGGTCCAAGATGGCCTCCAAGATGGCCACGTTGGCCCAAGATGGCCTCCAAGACGGTCCAAGATGGCCTCCAAGTCTGCCCAAGATGGTCCTTGACGGCCTCCAAGACGGCCCAAGAGTCCAAGACGGCCCAAGAGGCCTCCAAGAGGTCCTCCAGGAGGGCCTGAGGAGGCCAAAATCATTGATTTTCCTGAGGTCTTTGAAAGATTTTGACATTCGCTGCTTCTCGGCATTCCGACGGCTCAAGACGACCCAAGAGGCCCCCAATATTGCCCCAAGATCGCCCAAGAGGGCACCATGACGGTCCAAGAGGCCTCCAAGACGGCCCCAAAAGGGCCCCAAGACGGCCCAAGAGACCTCCAAGACGCCCAAGATGGCCTCCAAGACAGCCTCGAAGCGCCCCGAGAGGACCCCAAGTCGGTTCAGAGAGGCCCCCAAGACGGCTCCCGACGGCGTCAGACGGGCCAGGAACCCACCAAGATGGCCGAAGTTGGCTCGAAGCTGGCCCAAGACGGCCCAAGAGGCCTCCAGGAAGACCAGACAAGGCCAAACACAGTTTTTTTTGTTTTTTTTGTTTTTGTTTTTGTTTTTCTTCTTCTTCTTCTCTCTCTCTCTCTTTCTCTCTCGCTCTCTTTTTGTTTTTTTCTCTCTCTCTCTCTCTCTCTCTCTCTCTCTCTCTCTTAAAGTTTTTGAAGGATTTTGGCATTTCCTTCTTTTCGGCCTTCCGACGGCCCGAGACGGCCCAAGAGCCCCCAAAGATCGCCCAAAGATCATCCAAGAGGCCTCCAAGATGGCCCCAGAACGGCCCAAGAGGCCCCCAAGACGGCCCAGGAGGCCTTTACGACGCCCAGGATGGCCTCCAAGACGGCCCAGAGAGGCCCCCCAAACGGCTTCCGACGGCGTCAGACGGGCCAGGAGCCCACCAAGACGGCCGAAGATGGCCCTAAGATGGCCCAAGACGGCCCAAGAGGCCTCCAGGAAGGCCCGAAAAGGCCAACATCATTGATTCCCCATGAGTTTTTGAAGGATTGTGGCATTTGCTTTTTTTCGGCCTTCCGACGGCCCGAGAAGGCCCAAGTGCCCCCAAAGATCGCCCAAGAGGCCCAAGACGGCCCCAAGAGGCCCCCAAGACGGCCCAAGAGGCCTCCAAGACGCTCAAGATGGCTTCCAAGATGGCCCAAGAGCCCTCCAAGACGTCTTCCAAGAAGGCCCGAAAGGGTCAAAATGGCCTCCCGACGGCCAAGATGATCTTCAAGATGCCCACGTGTTCCCCGAAGGCTTTCCAAACCGATTCGGGGAACACATGGTCCGATAGCTTGGCAGGTCTGGCCTCAACTTTCGGCCACATAGGCGCTTCCAAAAAGGCAGGGGGTGGCGGTAATGTAATTCGCCGTAGGCGTCTTCGATATGCCGCTCCTGGCTCCAGGATGGACCTGGCCAAGGGCAGCGGACATGCACAGACCTCGTCGCCCCGCCCAGCGGGTACGGACAGAACGGGCACGGCGCCTAGCAGCAAGCGCCGTCCCAAAACCACGGCGGCCTCTGTTGGGCAAGCGACTCTGCTGCCTCGGCCGGGCTGCGCCTGCGGCGACGCCCGCCGCGGGCCCCGCGCAAGAGCGGCGGGCACGGCTGTGGGTCCTCGCCCCCGCTCGGTCCGCACCCGTGCCCAAAGGTCCGGTGTGCTGTTCTTGTTCGACGCGGGGGCC